TGCTGTGTGAAATGCAAACAGAATTCGTCTGGCTGCCTCATAGGGCTCTTCTCGCCAGAATCAGAGATCAGAGATCACGTACGCGGAAGATAATGTGAGTGAAAATGCTTTGGAAAATTATAATGCATGACACAAATGTATGACTGTCCACCCATCTGTAAACAGAAACAGGTACAGCTGTGGATTTTATAATTTAAGATTAAACAAAACTGATTACCTGTAGTAAAAGAAAAACAGTGTTTATTCATCAGTATTGATTATACTTGTATTTTTTTAAGTAATCCCTGAATACCTTTTCCTCAATTGTAGTAAAAACATTTACCTTAGACCAACCTCAAATGTGTAAGAGTGAAAAAAAAAATGTGTAAGAGTGAACACTGAGGCTCACTGTGATTTTCTTATATTGTGTGATTGGGGTCAAAGGGGGACACATGTAATATTTTCAATAATAAAGATTTAGTTTTTTTAAAAGCTTACGATTAATCATTATAAAAATGGGAACAAAGGAGGCCTGAATAAAATTGTTCTTTTTGACATTATCCTCACTTTTGCCTTGGCATTCTTTTGATTTATAACGTATGAACACAAATTATCAGCCTATATCCCTGTCTGTTTTTCTCAAGTGTTCTAAGCAATGCGATACTATGACCTATTCCAGGTCTCATTTCGGCTGCTCAGTGAGCTGGGAAGAACATATATGCTCTTCCCAACTGCAGAAAGCTGTTCCCCTGAAGTTTGTCCTTAACCCAGTCTCTCCTCATCTGTGGGCCCTGCGGCCAGAAAATCCTTGTTGGCAGGGCTCTCATGGTAAGAGAGGATGTCCAACTCTGCCTGCCCTTTCTCAGTGGAGAGAATTTCTTGAGATGCCCTTTACTGGGTAGGAAAATGCAATTTTACATCTACTTATCCCACATGCATGTTATCTAATTTTTAATATAATAAAGTCACTAGTCACTGTTTAGAGCTGCATTCTAACCAAAATATTGTCTCTATCTATGCTGGAGTTTCAGAAAACACCCCAAATCTGAGGATGTTTTCTGGGCTACAAATACCAAAAGCCCCAGGTCCCCAGACGTCAAAAAGTCCTGTATTGGCATCTCAGAGACCTAGTCACTGGGGCATCACTCAGCTTTTCTTTAGTTCTGCCTCTCAGAAGAAAAAAAATGCTTATCTGAAATTCAAAGAAATGTCACTACTTTAGATCTTAATCATTGAAGTGACATTTTAAACATTTTCTCAGAAATTAAGGAAATATTAAGTTTGGAAACAACACAACCAGGACTTTGCAAACCAAACTAATTGTAAATTGGAAGCCAAATTTATTTCAAATCCAATCCCCAACCTCCTACGCAATTTAGATTTATTCTATGTTGCAAATTTTAAAAACAAGGTAAACAACTGTTGGGGAAGGTCAGATGATGCCACTCCTGCTCAAAACCCTTCGATAGGTGGTTTCCTATCTCAGAGGAAAGCCAGTCTTTATATGCGCACCAAAGCCCTGAGAGCCTCTTACTACCTGACCACACTCTGCGCCACTCACTGGCATCCTTGCTTTTCCTGTTCCAGGCATGAGCCCAGCGCAGGCCTTTGCCCTAGCTGCCCCGAGCAACTCTCCTCCAGATGTTATTTGCTTTGTTCACTCCCTAATCCTGTCTGCTAAAGTGCTCCTCAGTGAAGATTTCCTGGACAACCATACTCAAAAGGATGAGCCCGTTCCCCACCAGCACCCTCTGCCCCTTTCCCTGTCGCATTAATCACATTTTAGTTTGCCACACTAGAATGTAAGCTCCAAGAGGGCAGATTTTATTTTCATGTTGTCTCTGCAATTACCTATTCCCAGCACCTAAAACACTGCTTGGTTAGATATTCAGTAAACCTGTCGGATCAAATTATTAAATGAGTAACTAATACATGCGGACCTCTGGGCTGAGCTGAGGGGGCATGAAAATGAGTAAATCATGGTTTTCCTAGAGCAGGTGTTCCCAACGTGGGGCACACATCCCACAGGGGGGCAAATCTGACGATTAAGGAGGGCAATTTGAGAATGAGTTAACAGTGAATTTTTTCATTTCTTAATGTCAAGGGCCTCATATACAATATATAAATATTTATCATGACATACTTATGCATTTCAGTTATGTTTTGAAACTTCGCTATTTTTTCCTATCACTTCATATTTTTTTCAACAATTTTAGTGATTTTTTTCCTCAGTACTTCAACTGGCCTTTCGTTTTTTTTCTTTCATGGATGCCATGTTCTTTGGAAGCTTGTTTAGACCAAGTTAATGGCCTTTTAGGCTTCCTCCAAGTGAACAGATCACTTTTTGAATATGGATTATATGGGGGGGCCGGGAGGGGGCAGATCAGGATTTAAGAGACGCTTAGGTGGGGAATGGCCAAAAATAAGGTTGGGAACCAGTCCTAGAGGTTTTAGTAAAGGATAAACAGATCATATTGATACGATTCAGTCAACTGTGAGGCCATGGAGAGAAGGACCAGCCTTACCAACCCTCAAATGCTGGCAGCTTGTTGCTATGCTGGCTTCTTAGCCTTGACCTTTCAATGCCTGGGGTAAACCTGAGTCTCAGCTTTCTCATCTGTACAGCACAGTACACCACTTCCTCTAGCTTTTTGTCTGGAATAAACATAATTTACCATTTAAGCCCCGAGATGTTAAGGAGCTTGAGAATTCCTTTAATAAGATTTCCTGAAAAGCTGTGATAAGTTTTTAAGAACAAAGCATTGGTTTTGAATTATGGAACCCAGCCTTTCAGCCTGAATTTAACTACATGAGACGTTTTTTTTTGTGTGTGTGTGGGGGGGGGGGGGGCAGCGTATGCAGTGAAACATACTCAAATTCCCCCATGGTTGGCTGTGATGGGGTTGAGGTCAGGGTCAATGTGATCTTTTCCTCAAATTACAAGATATCCATTAGGAAATGGGTGTAACTTTTTCAGGGGCCCAAATCAATGATATTGGAAGTATGAAACTGGGAACCAGGGATTTATACTAGTTACCAGTGCTGTAATAGCACCTCCCCATGATGTGACAGGTTAGTTACAGGTTTCTGGAATGAGGGCACACGATAGTCCAACTTCCCACTGGTGTTCACCAAAGGTCACATTTTTTAAACCAACCTAGTCCCACTTTTGGATACAGGGTTTGTCTCCCCAACTTTCCCTTCGAGTACACCACTGGGACTTTCAAACCAAGACTAGTCTTTCCTGCCTATAGTCTTTCTAGTGGGGTTTTGGCCCTTTCCCACACCGGGAGATCCTTCAGTGCCTTCTGTTCACTACAAATATGTTGCTGTATATTGACTGTTACCCTTGTGGCCTGTTAACTTGATTCTCTATCTGTAAAAATGAAGACAATTCCTAATCTGCTGTCATCAAAAGGATGAAAACAGAATATAGTAATCGTTCAAGTTATTTTTCTCATATACTTGAGACTCAATGCTTCATTAAGCATTCTGTGGGCAATCTTAATCAGCATACAGTTAATTGTTCAAAAAAGCCGTTTCTTTCATCACCCAAGCTTATTGACTAATGGCTGTAGTTCATATACTTCAAATTCACTGCTTCAATTAACCAACCACTCTGTGGCAATCTTCCCCCAGCCAGTGGACCTAACTGCAGCCACCCAGGCCATGGACCTTCTTCATGCTGGATTTTGCTTTAGCTCAGACTTATTCCCCATTTCAAGATCAGGGTATTTTATCAGCCTTTTGGCACTCAAGTCACTAAAACTTCTCAAAGACTTCACCTGATCACTCTTCATTCAATTAATATAACCACCTACTGATAAAAGCTTGGGAAATACTGCAATACAACAGACCAAATTCCTCTCATGGAATAACATCTTATTAGGTGAAAACATGCACAAGTGCATAATTTAAGAGGTAGTGCTGGTGTGGACGGTCCATTTTCAGGATGTCTCAGGGCCATGTGGCAGGACATTTGAGTAGGGACCAGGAACGGAAATGAATATTTAAATTTTCCTGCAGAACAAGCATTAAGTCTAAAGCAGCAGTTCTCAACCTGTAGGTCGCAACCCCTTTGGGGGTCAAATGACCCTTTTACAGGGGTCACCTAAGACCATTGGAAAACATATAATTACATATTGTTTTTGTGATTTATCACTATGCTTTAATTATGTTCCAATTTGTAACAATGAAATCGGGGGTCCCCACAACATGAGGAACTGTATTAAAGGGTCACGGCATTAGGAAGGTTGAGAACCACTGGTCCAAAGGAACTTCAAAGTAGGGGTCTAAATGCAGCTAGCGCTAACAACTTGAAATATTTCCTCATACCCTGAAGTGTTAGAACTCGCCTATTCGGAGAAAATGTGAAATCACAGCTCAAAAGCGAGCTGGACTTTGATTGGCAGGTATTGACTAGGATTTTCAAAGCTGCAAGAAGCCAGTTAATGGTTTCTTAGAGAAATTCACTGGCAACCCATTGGATAACTAATATTCTCACTTGACCTAATGTATGCCTCCAACATTGTATTTGCAAAATTAATTATCTTCTAAAGATAAAGGACATTGCTATAACCACAGTGCCAACCTCAAAATTTTTCAACATCCCCCCTTGTTCTTTCTAGGCTCTTTCCTGTTGGGGGATTCATCCCAGAGACAGCCAGTCAGGGGGACTCACATCTATTTTAGCCAGAGACCAAGCACCAAGGTGTTTACAGCCAGTGGAGGTTTCTAGCTTCAGCACTCTCTACATTAAGATCACCTGCTTTTCTTTGCAATTTTATCTGTGTAAGCTCATGTTTCAATGGCTCGCTTGCCCATTTTGGGCAATAAGGGGAACACTGAAGAAGGTCTATAGTTTATTTCTCAGCATAAACTGCACTTTCAAAGACGAAGACATCCTATGAATCTATGAAGTACACATGAAAAGGTGAGTTGGCAGTATGCTGCCATGGGGTCTTACTCACAAAAATGTCCTATTTTCCTTCATCCCATTAAGATGAAATAAGCAGACTTGATCAGATGGTTTATAAAAATTTATTAAAATTCAAAGTTGATCTTCTATCCCATGAGTATCCATCCAGCTGCCTGCAATAAAATAGCCACTTTTAGTCAATTTCCATACTTCAATTCTAATGGTATTTGAAGTACAGTATACAGAATATCAGATCTTCTTTCATCATCAAGTAATCAGTGAGAGAGTTCAAGTTAGGTTGAGATCATCATGTATTCTGGGATAAAACCACAGCACTGATATTTACAAGACTTACCTCTCAAAGGTCAGCCAGTTGCCATGACCGCTATCATAAATGCCTGAAAGCAAAGAATGCACATTAATCATGGTAAAAAGAACTTGTGTGATGTTTGTCAGTAACGTAACCTCAGAATAAAAATGGAACGGTTTTATGAGTGATATCATCCTATTTCATTTGGCAGAATCACTACATCACTGGTTACATTCTAACTTATCATATATAACAAGTATCATATATTACCTGGAAATCTCCAGGGTTTCAGGTCTGCCTGTTTAAAGATTGAAAAAAAAGGACATTTATTAGAAATATACCCTACCAACATTTTTAACTTCTGGAAAAATAACATTTAGGGCAGTGAGCACCTTCTGTATAGCTCAATGGTGAATGTTCCACCACGAATGAACCCTAAGGTAAACCATGGACTTTGGGTGGCAATTATGTATGTGTACTTGTGTTAAGTCCGTAAGTTTAACAAAAAGCTAATTCTGGTGGCTGGATGTTGATCATGAGGTGTGCAATTACAAGGTATATGGGAACTGTACTTCAGTTCTGCTGTGAATCTCAGTACAAAATTAAATTTAATGAATTAAAATATGACAGCTAAATAATTCAGGTATCATCTACAGATTTATATGCCATAAAAATTTGTTCACCAAGTGTTATTAACCTGCACTTCTCCAAATGTGTTATTCATCCTCCATTACTGCATAGAATGTTTGGTGTAGCACGTTCCCAGAATGTTTTGTGGGAACATGGCCAATTCCCTTTTTGAGGTTATGATTGTTGTAGCCAGATACATCAGATAGGAGCGAAAGACAATATTGCTCATCACTATTAGTCTGCTGAACTATGTTATCATCATTGTATCGGCTTTAAACCACTAAAAATAGAAAGAAACCAAAATGGAAACTACCATACATACCTCTGCTAAAACTCTTTATTCCTGGACTTGAAGCCAACCCAACTTCTCACACCTGCAGAAGTATTTTCAAATTTAGTAACAGGCAATAATAGGAAAATTTATAAAATGTTCCAGGTACTGTTTCAGTTATAAAATAAAATCTTCATTCTTTTTCAGAGAGATTCCCATCTGTTTTTTTTTTTAAATCATCACTAACAGCACCTTTCTTAGTAACTAGTTGAGATTAATAAAATGCATACCTTTATTTTAAATGTCTCCAAAACCTGCATCTGAAAAAAAGTATTTATTTAGACTATATTTCCCAAATCAATGTCTTTGCACACCAGAAAACACTGTCAGCAATCACTAAGACAAGCGTATTTTAGCAATATAAATCTGTACCAGAACCCAAAATCTGTTCTCATGTCTTACCCCAAGCATGCCATCCATGGATAAAAATGTGTATCCAACAGCTAGAAGGGAAATAGAACATTTTTATTAATTTTAAATATCATTAAATTCTTTGCTTATTGTTATATGTCACAGGGTTCTTCAGTGTTAGATTTGTCTACATGCTAATTTCAGGTCAGACATTTGATCAACATCATTACAAAAACCCCGTTCAAAGCATGCGCAACATGCACTCAACTAATCAAACACACAACATAAGCATTAGGAGCTTGGTAGTTATGCAGTGCATTTTACCACATTCTCAGTTTTGAGTCAATTAGAATGTTTTTTACAATTAATACTTACAAGAAGAAAATCAAGCCAGTCCAGACATGTCAACAGTCTAAGTCCACCTAAGAAAAAAAAGAGTGGTTTTCCAACAGCCGAAGATGAATTTTCTCCTTACCAATCTAAAAAATGCCTGAAATCAGATAGAGCTAATTAAGACCTTCACATTCAGTCAGTATTTGCTTATCATCACACAGGCTTTTACGCATCCAGACATCTTAGGAATGGTGACAGGACAGGGACCGGCTATTTAATGCGTTCACACCTTTCAAGCACTTCCTGATGAGTGCTTCCTGTGCATTAGAAGGAAACCCTCAGAAGCCACTGGTGGCATTGTCGTCCTTGTCCAGTTACCAATGTGAAGTTATAATTATAATTTTACTTACCATTCCAACTTCCAGTTAGTCCTTTTTAGTGTCTACACAAAAGGAAAAGCAAATTAGTAGTGGCACTTTGCTTATGCTATAACCAGCAAACGTTTTATAGCAGATACATCAGACAAGTGGTACATCTCTTCAGAATTCAATCTGCTGAACTATGCAAGCATCACAGTATCCGTTTCTTTAGGTGTCCCCCAACATTAAATATTAGTGCAGGCGTTCACGTTTGAAAACGGGAGGAAAGCCCTGAGGATCAGCACCAATTTGGCAATGTGTGATCCCTTACAAAAGTCATGGGTAAATAAAGATCGATATATAAAAACGTTCTCACCTGTCCGCCCATGGCAAGAGAGTGATGCTTGCACCTTAAGACCTGAGAAGGAAGAGTTTCAGGTCAACTTTGGTGCAATCTTTATTTTCTCTAAATCACCGTTTTGTGTGCCTCAGTTAGGATAATGGTGGTAATACTTCTCGTCATTCTCACAGTCGAGAGTAGCAAATAAAATGTCATCATTGTAGCACATGGGGTGTACCTTTAACCTAACTTTCCTGCCTGAAAAAGCTCTCGGTTCACTTACCCCAGCAGCGGTTCTCATTCCTTTGGCACAGAACTAGAAAACAGACAAAGAAATCCCAATGAAGCATACTACACAGCCACGTTAAACATTCATGTCACGAATACTGAAGCCTCAGAATAGGATTTGTCAGAAATTCTTTCTGTCCACTACTCTTAAACCATCACAGGCTTAACAAAAAAAGACCACATCTAGGCAAATTTCATCCTTCCCACCGTATTTACCCGGTTCTTACCTGTCCATCAGATGCCACGTTGCACTCGTGCCGAGCATCATTCCTAGGGAAAATATTAGTTTTTGTTCATTTTGTTCTAAATTATGCAAGTGGTTTACATCACCCACAATTTCAGTGCACTAGACATATTATAACGAGAGCACTATACAGTTAAATTTAAGAACCACTGACGGCAATAATGCTGCAATGCGGAATGCAGCCCTTCAGAGAACCACGTGGGCTACCCCAACACCCGCCTCCCTGGAGGAAGTGGCTCAGGCCGAGGTTATTTACGGTGACTCGGCATGCGCCGCCATCAGAGCTGTTGGCATTCATCAACAGTCTCAGATGTCCCTACCAACATAAGCTTCATCAGAGGCAGGGCACGCGAGCCGAGGTATTTCCACAGTTGAGCCCTACAACCGAGTGTTGAGTTTACGTCGTGCCCGCACCCAACACGCAATCCTCTACAATCCTCATCCTGTGGTTCCTGCAAAGCCTTGCAACTAGCCCATAAAAATCAGCGCGTTTAGGGCGACTTTAGTTGCCATGACCTGGAGGCCTTGAGCCAAGAACCTACTTAGCATGCGCGAAGAACATAGACACGTACCAGTTGGTGACTTCCATCCTCGAAAGACCGAGATGGCGTCCAGGCGCCTGTATATAAGGATTTCGTCCCATGACGTCATGACGCACTTTCCCCGCCTGCGTCGGCTCTAGCTCCTCCCCCACTCCTCCCTTAGTCTCCTCCTCCAGCCACACCTTCGTCCCGGCCTCTCTGCCCGCCCTTGGCCCCACCCCCTCGACTTGTGGGCGGGGTCACGATGGCCAGCGTGACGCTAAGCTCCCACCCTCCTAACCGACTGAGGAGGAAGACAGGAGCGGGGAGGGGGCGCGGGGACGGAAAGCGCTGGGGGAGGGGGAAAGGGGACGGTGGAAGGGTGAGTGATTTCCTTCCGGCTCGTCGCCCGCGCCAGGGGAGGGGGCGGGGGTTTTCACTTCCGGGACGGTGTTCCGGCCCATTCCTGCCCATTTCCACCCCCGGAGGTAGGTGCTGCTCCTTGACTGGGCCGGGGCCCGCACGCCCGTCCCGCTGCCCTGCCCTGGGGCCGCCCCGCCCGATCTCTCCCGCCTGCCTGCTCCTGGGGCGCTCAGCCACTTCCCTCCACTCCCACCCTAAGGCACCCGAGACCTGCCACCCCCTTGGCCCCGGGCCGGGCTGGGCTGCCGGACCCGCCCCCTCGCCGAGTCCCTCCCTCAGGACCCCGGGATGGGCGGCCCCCTCCCCCACCCGCCACACCCAGACACACACACCCACCTCTGAGCAGCTCCCCGCCCGCCCACACCTACCGCCTGGACCGGGTCCCGGGGCGCCGCCCCCTTCCCGCTCTGTAACCCGCACCTGATGGCCCGCTCCCAGGCCGCGCGCCCGGCTCCCCCCGCTGCCCCTGCTCTCCGGTGACATTGCGCGGCTCAGTCAGTGCCCCGCTCCCCGCGCTTCCCCACCCCGACGGAAGCCACTCAAGGACCGGAGTGGCCCACCGGACGGCGTCCCCGATTCTCCTCTTACAGCTCCCACTCCTCCAGCGCCGACGGTAGTGCAAGACCTTGCTGCAGGGGCCTCCTCCACTGGGGCATTGCCGGGAAGAGCAAACAAAAAGGCGCTGGTGTAGGCTCCAAAACACACACATCTGAATTCAGGATGGCATCGACAGAGGCTCTTATTGGATTAAAAGTTGTCAAACAAACAAAAACGCTTTGGAAAAAGGTCAGATTGGCTACAGTTGGTTCTTGAAAACAGTGTATGCACTTCCCTGTTTAACTGACCGGTGTGTTGTGAATGCCGGGCAGTCCTGTGAGCTTGTCAGATAAATTCCTGAAGTTTCAGGTCTTCGGTAACTATGTAATGTCCTAACTTTACAGATAAATGGAAACACATTGGGCTCCACTTAGTGTCTTCCCAGTGGGGTTTATATAAAACTACTCCCAGCCATGGAAAGCTGTTGGATGCGATTATAGGCTTAGTGTTTTTAAAACCTTTTAATGTAAAAATACTGGCCATACTTGGTAAATGCTCTATTTTTTTTTTTTTTTACCAGCTTTGGGGAACTAAATGTCAGAATCAAAGTACCATCCCCACCCTGAAATTTCCAACTTTGAAATTAGATTATTTAGATAGAGGCAGGTATACCTCCCTTTTCCTAATTCTGAGAGTGAACGTCAAGTCGCCTCATCTCAGTTGAGTCCTGTGGCACCTTTCCTAACCTAGACTTTGCCTCGAGTCCTAAACCTCAACCCTTTTTGTGGGGGCTCCGGTGCATCCTTAAAAATAATGGCTTGCATTCCTGTGGGATAGTAGTGACTTTGTAAAATAATAAACTCACTCAAGTAGTAAAACGTTAAGAAGAGGCATATCTAATCGACCTATCTGTGCATAATCACATTTATTCAAAAACTTATTTCCTCCAAGGAAAAGTTGTCATAGGATTTTATATTCAGTGCAAATACCTTATGATTAATGCTTAAAAAAAAAAAAGAACTCACAACTGCTTTCCCCCTCTCTGTTCTGTTGAACTCTGTTTTGATGTTGCATAGCTTATTAGTAAGGAAAGTATGGGTATAGCTTGAATTTTTAGAAATCTAACAATCACTTTTGTGTGTGTGTGTTTTTAATATATTTGTATTGATTTCAGAGAGGGAGAGGGAGTGGGAGATAGAAATATCAATCATGAGAGAGAATCATTGATCGGCTGACTCCTGCACGTCCCCTATTGGGGATCAAGCCCACAACCCCACATGTGCCCTTGACCAGAATCAAACCCGGGACCCTTCAGTCCTCAGGCCTATGCTCTATCCACTGAGCCAAACCTGCTAGGGCTAACAATCACTTTTTTGGGTTTAATGGTGTCTTGCTGTGAAACCTAGACTGAAAAAGCCTGTTGGTTTTTCTATTCCAGATCTAAACATAAGGCAGGTGTCTCTTTTTACTGGGAGATTTTGAAATTTTGCCAAATGATGTTTTTAAACACATTTGAACTGGAAAGCATGAGGGGCATACAATTCTAATTGTTCATGAGAATCTGGTTTCCTCTTTCGCAGGGTTGAATGCCTGCCTACACCCTCAGGCCCCACCATGGAGAAGGGTGGTAACATACAACTGGAGATCCCTGACTTCAGCAACTCTGTCCTGAGCCATCTAAACCAGCTGCGAATGCAGGGCCGGCTCTGCGATATCGTGGTCAACGTGCAAGGACAAGCTTTTCGGGCTCACAAAGTGGTACTGGCCGCCAGCTCTCCCTATTTCCGGGATCACATGTCCTTGAATGAGATGAGTACTGTCTCCATTTCTGTCATCAAGAACCCCACTGTTTTTGAACAGCTCCTTTCTTTCTGTTACACAGGGCGGATATGCCTGCAGCTGGCAGATATCATCAGCTACCTGACAGCTGCCAGTTTTCTGCAAATGCAGCATATTATAGACAAATGCACACAGATCCTAGAGGGCATTCATTTCAAAATTAATGTGGCCGAGGTCGAAGCAGAATTAAGTCAAACGAGGACAAAGCATCCAGAGAGACCTCCGGAGTCTCACAGGGTTACACCAACTCTAAACCGCTCCCTTAGCCCACGGCAAAATGCCCCAAAGGGAAGTCGGCGAGGTCAGGTTAGTGCTGTGCTGGACATCAGGGAGCTCAGTCCTCCCGAGGAGTCCACCAGCCCTCAGATCATTGAACAGAGTTCTGATGTAGAGAGCCGGGAGCCTATTCTTCGGATCAACCGAGCAGGACAGTGGTACGTAGAGACAGGAGTAGCAGACCGAGGGGCACGGAGTGATGATGACGTGAGGGTTCTTGGGGCAGTACACATCAAAACGGAAAATCTAGAGGAGTGGCTGGGGCCTGAGAATCAGCCCTCTGGAGAAGATGGGAGCAGTGCCGAGGAGGTCACAGCCATGGTGATTGACACCACGGGCCATGGTTCCATGGCACAGGAAAATTACACTTTAGGATCTTCAGGAGCCAAGGTGACTCGGCCAACAAGCAGTGAGATTGACAGGTAAGTTTTGTTTTGTTCGCCCATCTAACAGCTGTTGTACAGACATAACTAAAGCGAGCCCCCTGTGTGGTACAGAGAGCATCTTCCTTCCTTGATGCTCTTAGCCGAAATAAGTTTATGTTGGGGAAACTGGAGGTGTGCCAAAAGACTTGCATTCTTATTTTTTTAAAGCAGGAAGCTCCTTGCCGTGGCCAGTGTGGCTCAGTTGGTTGAGCGTCATCCCATGCACCAAAGGTCACTGGTTTGATTCCTGTCAGGGCACGTGCCTGGCTTACAGGCTCAATCCCCAGTAGGTGGTGTGCAGGAGGTAGCCAATTGATGTTTCTCTTTCATTGATGTTTCTCTCCCTCTCCCTTCCTCTCTCTCTAAACATCAATAAAAATATTTTTAAAAAATAAAAATAAAGCAGGAAGTTCCTAGTCCTGAAGAATTCAGTGTTAGGAGAACTATGGTAAAATTAGACACTTCCATGAATCAGAATAGCATCTGCAGCCACACTATATCAGTAATTAGCGAGGCTTTCTTGGAATTCCAGGTAGAGGGCTCGTCATCAGCTGGGAACCTGGCAGGTTTGCCCTTCTTCCTTATGTTATCACCCAGGTAGGTGGTCTCAGGGGAGTTTTACTTGCCTTTGTAGTGCTGTTTACTTTTCTTTGCTTCCCACCTATCAAGTTAGAAGGGGTATAGTACCAGCAATAATTGTTCTTTTTAAATTAGTGTAATCACAATACAGTTATTCCAAAGAAAAGCTTTGGACATGGTTTTTATTCCTTTCTTCACTTGTCATTTGATGTCTTCCTTTTGTCTTTCATTGGTGACTGCTATCACGGGTCCAAGAGTCTGTTTTTTCACCAGTGCTAGTAGGTCCCATGGCTCCCATTTCTCTTTCTAATGGTAATTAGAGCATTTCTTTTTGGTGGAGATAGCAATCGTTTTAATTTAAGTAAATTTAAAGATAGTTTCAGTTGAAAGTATTGTCCTGGTTGGTGTGGCTCTATTCTATTGGTTGGGCATCTTCCCATGCACTGAGAGGTTGCAAGTTCAGTTCCTTGTCAGAGCATATGCTTGGGTTGTGGGCTTGATCCTCTGTAGAGGGCGTATAGGAGACAGCCCATAGATGGTTCTCTCTCATCCATCTTTCTCTCTCCCTCTCTCTCTTCCTCCCTTTCTCTAAAAATCAATAAAAAAAACACATTTTTTTAAAAAGAAGAAAGTATTGCCCTGACTGGTTTGGCTCAGTGGATAGAGCATCGGCCTGCAGACTGAAGGGTCCCAGGTTCGATTGCAGTCAAGGGCATGTACCTTGGTTGCTGGCACATCCCAGTGGGACGTGTGCAGGAGGCAGCTGATCGACGTTTCTCTCTCATGGATGTTTCTAACTCTCTATCCCTCTCCCTGCCTCTCTATAAAAAATAAATAAAATATATTTTAAAAATAAATAAATAAAAAAGAAAGAAAATATTATCAACTTAGATTGATCATATATGTTCTTTTTCCCCTTTTAAAAATAAATTAAAATTGACTGCATGGACAATGAAAATTTAAAAAGTTATAACGGTTGGTTGATACCTGGTCTTGAGAGACATATGTGTTACAGATTTCTAAAGTATATATTGTATCCAGTTCAGGTAGTCTTGATTTGGCTATTTTCCTTCTTGTGTTCTTAATAGTTAAAATATTCTTGAACACAATACATATTGCCACCCCCCCCCATGTTAGTACTGTATCAGAAGTAATAGCTTAATGCAAAGACTGAATCTCCATGATCTACTATATCAAAAGTCTGAAATATATAACAAGTTATGTTAGGGCCTAAAGGAAGGAACAACCAAAAACCTAATCGTTACATAGAAGAAAAAATTATAAACCCAATTTTAATTTATTCTTTTATGGTTCCCAATACTTACATAAGGATAGAACTTATATTTAGCTTTAGCTTCCCCAGGTCATATGGCCTATCTCATATGTAATTCTGTATTTCTTAAATTTACTACGGCAAACCTTTCTTAAAAAGAAAACAAAAAACCTTTCTTGTCTTATTTCAAATCAGATCCTATTATTGACTCCCTGAATGTCTTAGTCATCTGTTGTTCAGTTTGTTCCCCTTCTCTCAGCCATGGGATAAAGAGGATAAACATCACCATTTTTTAAGTTCCTTGACACTGCTCTTCTGTTAGTCCCCTTTTGCTCCTCTTCCGACAGATTTAGCCCCTCCGGCAGTGTTGTCCCCTTGACGGAGAGACACAGAGCCCGAAGTGAGTCTCCTGGGAGAATGGATGAGCCTAAGCAGCCCAGCTCCCAGGTATGTAGTTGTGATGGCTGAAGCAATTGCCACTGTGTGTGAATCCTACAGGAAAGATGTAGGAGAGGGAACAGGGACCCTGTTAAAGAAATATTCTCCTTGATTACTTTTTTCTTTATTCCTGTTTGCAAGCATGCAGGAAATGCACTTTTGGTGTTCGCAGAGTTTGGGAAATAGAAAAGATGAGATTGCGGAACTCTTTTCTGAACCAGTCTTTAGTCCTGAGAGTAGAAATAAAAAAGTAACCCCTGAAAAGTACATGCAGGAAATGCAGGACCTGAGATGGAGAGCCTGATTCTGTACATGTGTGGTGGGTATAACACTACATAATTACTACTTTATGTAATAGAAAATATTTGTACACAGCTGCTTTTGCATTTTTATATGCTTACATCTTTTCATTTATTTCCTTCCTGAATCTTTTGTTAGACTAAAATGTTTTAGAGAAGATAGGAATTATGTCTTCTATTTTCTTTGCAATTCTCCTTAGCAAGTAGCATAAGTAGTTGGTTGATATTATTGTTTGTTTATTTTTCCTCACAGGTCTCTATCATGAAGATTTATTTGTAAAAGGACAGTAGAACTCACCAAGTAGAACTTAATACGTTGTAAACACTTTTGTCCTTTGAAAGAAAACACTGGTGGACTAAGATTGCATAGCTAATTTTTTTAGCTTCTGCATCATACTGGTAGTATCTTGTTTAGTTTTTACTTAAACATTGGACATTTAGTGTGTATATATTATAATAACAGCAGCAGGACATTGTTAGAAACTACATTTACTTGCATGTTACCATGCCAGTTTTTCGGTACCAGAAAAGGAATTGTAACTATTATAAGAATTTTTTTTAGTTTTAATAAGGTTTTAGAGAAAATATTAGGAGCTTGGAGGGAAAGCTTATTCTTAGTATTAGGGCCCTTTTTCTCTCATCTTTGAAAAGAACGTGATGACTATGTGAAGGTAACTAGGATGCAAATAAATACGAGACAGACCTTATAACTTAATGGGGGCATAAGGCAGACTAACACATACACAAAACAGATATAGGTGAGACTATATAGACCTCATTAACAGTGTTGTGGGAATAGAGTGCTTAAAAGGCAGTTACTGGAATCAATAACCACTTAAAGAAAGTGGAGAATTTAAGTGCAATATTTAATGAAGTGGTTAGAAAGAGGTAACATACTGCATATGTAGATATAATAGGGATAATAATTGGAATTCTACAAGGATGTTTACCCGACTAAAGCAGAAGGTGCAGACTATAAAGAAATAGAAAATAAATAATATTGTTTGGAGATGATATTAAGAGATGAGGTAAGCCTTAAACCGGTTTGGCTCAGTGGATAGAGCATCGGCCTGCAGACTCAAGGGTCCCAGGTTCGATTCCGGTCAAGGGCATGTACTTTGGTTGCGGGCACATTCCCAGTGGGAGATGTGTAGGAGGCAGCTGATCGATGTTTCTCTCGCATCAATGTTTCTAACTCTATCTCTCTCCTTTCCTCTATTTAAAAAAAAAAAGAGATGAGTTAAGCTCTAACTGGTTTGGCTCAGTGGATAGAGTGTCGGCCTGCGGACTGAAAGGTCCCAGGTTCGATTCCGGTCAAGGGCATGTACCTTGGTTTCGGGCACATCCCCAGTAGGGGGTGTGCAGGAGGCAGCTGATCGATGTTTCTCTCGCATCGATGTTTCTAACTCTATGCCTCTCCCTCTCTGTAAAAAAATCAATAAAATATATTTTTTAAAAAAAGAGAGAGATGAGTTAATATGACATGTGTGAGAGTTTAGATGATGCAGGTAAATGAACATTTCCATCGAAGTACCCACCTGATTATCTAGATATAATTATAGATTAGAATTCAAGAGGATGGTATGAGTGGGCCCAGATTCTTCTGTTGCTGTACAATAGATCATTTACTGGGGGTTCCATAAAAAGCGTGCAGTTTGTCAGCCAGAAGTAACTTGACTTTCTTGTTCTGTTATGGTAATGGAATATAGTGTCCTCATTTTTTTTTTAATTGTTATGTTAACTTTACTTGTGGGTAGTAATTTCCTGTTTGGATCTCGAAAATCAGCGTAAAGCTTAGTAACAGAGGTAAAAGTAGATTTGATTTATTTTACTATTCACAGTGTATGTTCTTTTGTGCTTATTTTCCTCACCTGGCACAGGTAGAAGAATCAGCAATGATGGGAGTAAGTGGCTATGTGGAGTATCTTCGAGAGCAAGAAGTATCTGAGCGGTGGTTCCGGTACAACCCCCGTCTCACCTGCATCTACTGTGCCAAATCTTTCAACCAGAAGGGGAGCCTGGACCGGCACATGCGCCTGCACATGGGGATCACACCGTTCGTCTGTCGTATGTGTGGCAAGAAGTACACCCGCAAAGATCAGCTGGAGTATCACATCCGCAAGCACACAGGCAACAAACCCTTTCACTGCCATGTTTGTGGCAAAAGTTTCCCCTTCCAGGCCATCTTGAATCAGCACTTTCGCAAAAACCACCCTGGCTGTATCCCCCTGGAGGGGCCTCATAGCATCTCCCCTGAAACAACTGTCACATCTCGAGGACAAGTCGAGGAAGAGTCACCTTCACAAGAAGATACAGTTGCTCCTGGGGAAATTGCCCAGGGCTCTGTGTCCACCACTGGGCCAGATTGAAACATCGAGGGGGAGGGGGCAGACCCTCTTCCCCATTGGACCGTAAGCAGCCAGCATCAGGGCCATGGGCTGGTACTTCGATTCACAAAATGCCACATCACTAGATCAGAAGATGCTCCCAAGATGTTGCCAAACTAGAGGATCAGCAACATACACAGAAGCACTAGAGGCTTTTCCCCCTCTCCTTCCCACCTCACACTTTGGAAATTATCAAGCAAATCAACTTTCTAATTCAGGGATCAACAGCCTTGGTTTGTTAACTTTATAAGAAAAAAATTTTTTTAACAAAACAGTGATAGATGCTCATTTATCTACCAGTCACATTTGAACATTGTCCTTTGGTCCATGTTATCCTGGTGGCTGTCACTCACCCAGATCTAAAAAACCCAGCAGGAGCCTTGGTCATCGGAACCAGCCAACCATATGAGGAATTTCCTTTCTTCCTTTCTGCCAGAATGTGCAGCTTCAAATTTCAAGGGAAAAAAAAGAATCCTGGTGCTTCTTATTGTTTTGAAAGGTTAGACTTATCTTTGCCCTGACTAGGCATCTGCTGCGTGGTCATGTTTCCGGTAACAGCCATGGTGGAGGCAGCATCCGCTGAAGCACTTTAGGCAGCTGAAAGTGAAATGACAGCAGTGTTTGCAATAGGTACCACTAAGCTTGGGGGCTGGAGTGCTGGGTTGAGGTGAGGGGAGCAGAGAGAAGTTTTGGGTTTACAAACGTGGAACAGTACAGCGCCTACTGCAACTTACTGCTTGGTATTTGTAAACCACCGTGCTTGTATATCTTTGGATATTAGGAAATGGCTCTAGTCCGGATGAATTAACGTGTTAGGCTGACTACCAAAGTTTCCTCCACTTTCTTTGGCTCCTAGTTTCACATAACAGCAATAGTATACATCAGAAATGTCCCTTTCCAGTGAAATGAGCCTGGATTGTATTTTTAAATCCACAGGTCTCCCTATTTGATAACTTTTATATGAAGTTTTAAACACATTTTTTCTGCAGCATTCTGATTGAAGAAATTCAACACTATGATTCTTATTGCAGCCACAATTCCATTTCCTCTTATATAAGTAATAGTTTATATTTTCAGTCCAATAGAAGAACCTCACTAAATCCATGTCTCATGTCTGCAAACCTAGTAATTCATAAACCAACCATCAGCAAATTGCTGGTGACTCCAAGAGCTTTGCTTTTTAATATAGTACAGGGCATTTACCAGAAAACATCAGGCACAATCATGATGCAATAAATTGATCAAGGCATCAATTTTGATCAGGTTTGATTACTTGATCATTCCTAAGATTTTTTAAAACTTCAGGAGACCTTTTTGGTAATTCTGAGATTCTTACTCCAGCACCGAGAGTCAAGAGGAATTTACCAAGTGTGTAGAGCTTTAGATGCCCGATTTTGTATGCAGAGAATGAGGGTGGATTTTTAAGGGATGCAGGCAAGTAGATGCTTACAAGTTACAGTGCAAATAGAAAGGAGAAAAATCTCTAGCTTCTCTTAATGATCATTAAAATGTTAAGATTAGTATTTCAATGCATAGTGGTTTAAGAAATTGTCTTGGTGCAGAGGCATAGATAATTGTTAAAGGGATTTGGAAGAGGGCCTGGTCATGCCTGCACTGGTGAGCCATTTGTGAGTGTTAGTTAGTAGTGCGCTCCCTTCCTGAGAATGCTTTGTGATATGTGGAAAGGGGGACAGGAAAGGTGGCATTTCTTTGATGATAGGATGTTAAATGCAAAGGGTAATTCTTAAGCAATCTAAGAATTGTACATACACATACAGCTGCACTGTATCACTAGAGAATGGTTATTTTTTCTCTTTAGAAAAACAGAAATGTGTCTTTTAATAGGAATGTAATAATGCTATCATATGTTAAGAGCCTACCCTTAAACGTTGTTTTGGAGTGTATTTTATCTTTATAAGACATTGACCAGGACACCATGATAGGGTAAAAACTCTTGCCTAGGTCCATCTTAAGGACCGACTAGGCTCTGTGACCTACAAAAAGTAGAGTTGAAATGAGGCTAAAATCTATAGGGATACATTTCAACTGGTAATCAAGGCTTTCAATGGACAGATCTTGCCATAACTAAATAGGTGAAAAGTACAGAATATGCTGCTTTAGCTGGAGCTTTTAAGCCTACCAAAAAAATATTAAGTCAATCCTATGTTTGAGAAGTAGTATGCTGGAAAGTTATTGCTTTGCTAGTTTTCTTAGATTTTATGTGAGAAAATAGAGCTTTTTAAACTATTACCAAATTGTAAAGGTGAAGTGCAGTAATTTCTGTAAAGAGAAACTTTGCAGCATTTGTCAGTACTCTATCCGGAGTTGGCAGCAAACACTTTGAATGCAGTAGAGACTGTCCAATAGACATGGAAATACTATGAGTGCTTGGTGGGTTCCTCACCTTTTCACTCATTTCTAATAGCTTTTGCTGTGTTAATACTGTGAATAGTGCCTCCAGGTCGTCTAGGACCTCGTCAGCACAGTTGTCTTTGCTGGTTCTCTCCTTTTCACTGGTCTAGACTAGAGCCAAGAGGTTCGTGAAATTCAAGTTTCCGAAAGCAATTTTCCCATTTTAACTAGGAGAGATATTGTTATTCTGAATACTTATCCATATTCTTCTCCAGGTTCACTGTGACATTGCCCTAGTTCTTAGCTAACATCATGGGGGAGCATAGGAGTTAGTAGTGTTCTGTCTACATCAATGAATTGCTGTATTGTTGTGTGCACAGAGGATACCTCTCTTAACAGTGTACTAAATGACTTTAGCTAATGCTGAAAATTATTACCAAATCTTCACCTTGTGAAGGGAACTGCATTGGCAATGATAGCTGAATCATCAAGTACTTTAATGCCGAGAAATAGCAAACACTGGGTCTGTTTTCATTGAATGGCTCTTCATAGCAAAAGAGCTACCCAATATTCTCAGCAAACTAAGAGAGATAGCAATAGATTCATCTTCTTTCATTCTAAGGGGTACCTTTTATTCTTTCTGAACTCTGATACCAGTATAAAATGCAGCATTGGCATGTGCAGTAACACTGTACTGAGGCAGAAAGGCTCTTTCTAATGACCTGTTCTCTCTTTACTCAGAACCATATTTACCTCTGAACTGAGTTGAGTTTTATTTTATGTAACTTGCAAACTACCCCAGAGCCATTTCATTGTACCAGAGGGTTAAATCTAATTTTGAATATGTAAAATAACTTACTAAAGGATAAAGATCGAGAACGAAGGGAGATGGCAGTTAAGGGAAGTTTTCTTGCTATTTTGTTTTTTTGGTGGTTTTGTTTTTTTGTGGGTTTTTTGTTTGTTTGTTTTTGGGTGTTTTTTTTCTTATGTTTCCAGTTCCCTCTACATCTGTGAAATGGGGTTTTCCAAAGATGGTTTAACATATAGAATTAAACCATTTTCCTCTGAACTTCATAATTGAAATTTGACCTTGGCTGGAAAGTGGTCTAACCAAAGAAATAGTGAACTTCATCCTTAATAACTGAATAGTCTTTTATCAAGAAGTAACTTTTAAAAAGTGTTAGCTGTTACTTGACACTGATTTTGTTTCCTTTAACTGGTAAAAACTACATTTTGTTTGACTAGAAGATCTAATTTAAAGAAATGATAGCAATGGCTAATGGAAAGAAATTAAACAAAGACAAAAGTCTTCTGAATCATAGTGGAAAGGCATTTAGTCAGAAAGGAGTTTGAATCCTGAAAGTTCTTTTCCTCTCAGAAACAATAGACATGGTTTTTTTCTCTTCCTCACATGTCCTCCTTATCTGTGTACTTATTTGTTTAAGGAACAACAGATAAGTCTTCACTGAACTTAATCTTTGAAAGCAGGGCTCTTAGGCCTCGTGGGAAAGTGCAAAATATTGAAGTATTTTGGTTCCTGCGATTTAGAAGGGAAAACAAGCAATTAAGTCAGATTAATCCCTAAATTTCAGAGGCTGTCCCTTTGTAAAGTATGTCCCTAGGACTATGAATTAGATCTGTGTTCAACAAACTGCAGCCCCCTGGTCAAAAGTGATAGTGGACTAGCCTCTTCATTTAAGTGTTGTTTATGGCTACTTTCTTCTACAATTCAAAGTTGAGACCAGATGGCCTGCAAAGCCTGAAAATACAGTATTTACTGTCTGACACCTGACAGAAGTTTACCAGCTCCAAATTAAATTTGAACGCATCACCCCCCAAATTTGTCAGTCCTGCCATTTTGCTATTACAAATTCATAAGTCTAAAAGGGTTTTAATTCGTATTGCTATATATGCATGTTTCCCAAAAGAGTTTGCCATCTTTTCCTAGTTGCTTTTCTCACAACCCTCCTTGTGCTCCTTAATGATCCCCATTGCTTTAAGAGCATTTAGAATAGTCCTTAGGATTTGACCTTGCCTTAAAGGTGCAGGTAGATTAAAGTTTAGGATGGTTGTTATAGATATAGCCAAGTAATTTTTAAAAACAATCCCCATGCATAATAATGTAAGGTTAAATGAATACCATGTTTACATAAAATACGGTAAAAAATTGTTTTATAAGTAAGCTTTGCCATTCCTCTGAGTTAACTTGAACTGCCTTGCATAATGATAGCAAGGGTGAATTTATTCCCACTAGTATTAAAATTGTATTTCTGTTAGGAATAAGTGGTTTGATTCTTATCCAAAGTACTGTTTTTCTAGATTAGAAACCTCTAACTTTTCCTGTATTATAAATCTTCATTCTAATTTCCTCAAGTAAACTTACTTTGTTCCTTGTGGAGTACTGAAAAGCCAAATCTTCCTTTTCCCTTTTTAATGAATGTCTTAAAGCATAGTGAAACATCTGAAGATTGCTGATTCTTCCTAGACCTATCTTCCAATTTCTATTACTGTATGTAATTCTTCTGAATATATATTGGGCCATTATATATTTGTTTTGTGAATGTTCATTCTTCCAGTAGCTTATTTATGCTAGACGTGAAAAAATTGGAAATTTTAAAGAAATAATAATAGAATTCTTTGCAAAAGGAGAATATAGTTGTTCCCCATTTGAAAACAATACATGGTCCTCTGCATTAGATGCACTTGTCTGAATAAAGGGTTGTAGGCCAAGCAGGTGCAATCCAGTGAGTTTACCTCTCACCTTGTGGTTGTAGCTCCATAACACATGTGAAGTTCAGATGAGTGACCCAGCCACCTGTAGGGCACTTCTTCACCAGGCATTTTATTCTTAGAGTTGCCTTTCTCTAACTCCGAGATTAGTAAGTTCTACATAATACACCCTCTTAGTAATAAGTAGTCTTCATCGATAATATTTGCCTACATTTGTTCTGCCTTGTCTTAGAGCACTTATAGTAATAGTGGGTTCTTGGCATTTTGAACTATTGCTCTTCTGACTACTTTGAAACTCTGATTAATCTGGGGTTTTGGACTTGTGAAAGAAATTGGATTCAGATATATAAGCTCAGTGAATCATCTGCATCCATCCCTCCTTGAGGTCTGTAGTAGATGTCATTTAAATATAAATCTGTTTAATATGAGAAACAGTGGAGTTTGCCAAGTATTATGACTTCTTTGATAATTATCAGTTTTACGTTTTGCCTTCTTTGTTTTCTAGTCTCTTTCTCTGTTTTCAATCTTCTTATTCTTTTTTTTTTTAATATATTTTATTGATTTTTTACAGAGAGGAAGGGAGAGAGATAGAGAGAGTTAGAAACATCGATGAGAGAGAAACATCGATCAGCCGCCTCCTGCACATCTCCTATTGGGGATGTGCCCGCAACCCAGGTACATGCCCTTGACCGGAATCGAACCTGGGACCTTTCAGTTCGCAGGCCGACGCTCTATCCACTGAGCCAAACCGGTTTCGGCCAATCTTCTTATTCTTAAGTGGTGCTTTTCCCAGGGCCAGTCTTTTCGTTTTGCAGTAAGTGGGTTTTCTGCTCAGAACAAGCCAAAGTTGGATCTTTTGAGTACTTTGAAACACGTGACTTAGTTACATTCCAAAGGGTATAATTATTGTTGGGAACAATGATGTCAAACTTAGAAAATCTCTATACAGACTGTCCAGTTTTGTTTTATAAGCAGACTATCTTTTCCCTCAACTGTGAGGAACAATGATTTAGAAGGCAACTATTACTTGAAATACATACTGTTTTCACAGAGGGTACATATATAAATAAATTCCTTATCATACATCTTTCCCATTATTTATATAACAAATATCTCTCATCTTAACACAGTTAAGAATGGCCCACCAGCTCAAATAGTGGAAGATTTAAACAACAAAGCTAAATCATAAAGGCAGAGCAGTTATGTTAAAAAGAGAAAATACTTTTCTAATGCTTGCTTCTTTCATGTCTACTCAGTCCTATTGAAGTGACTAGAATTCACTATCCAGTTAAGAGAGATATATGTGCAGCATCTCATGTGGCAACAGCACAATTTAACAGTACTAATTACTAATTACTGTGAATCTTAGAATCTGAATCCGTAATACCAAAAGTCACAGTATCTTGTAGGGAAATTTTTTCTATTTTGTGAAATCACTTATCTTAAGTGGTAAGTAGCATACAGGCAAATCTGTGCCATTAAGTAAATATTAAGTACTTTTTGGTACTAGACGATGTGCTTGGAATTTGTATAACAAAATTGATTTTAGACGTAGTTTAGATGTGGCTTCCTATAGTACTTGAGAGTCCTAAACTTGGTTGGAGTGTGTATGTGTTGTTTTTTAAAAGCCTGCACTTTTTACTGCATAGATAAAGGATCAAAAAGCAGGGGACAGAATTAACTGTACTAAGAAAATAACCCTATGAAGTAATAATAAGAACTAAAAGTAGCTGACTTTTTTGAATGCTTACTATGTGCCAGGCACAGTTCTGTGCTTCTTATTGATTAACTCTTCTAATCCTGTGACAATCCTGTTAGGGTAGATACTGTTATTATTTTCACTTTAGGAAGGAAGAAACTGAGACACAGAGGTTGACCCTGGTAGTCTCATACGAGAGTTGACACTCTTAACAGATTATATTGCCTTTAATAGGTTTAATTATACCACACTGTATAGATGAGGAAACTGATGAGCCCAAGGGTCACACCATGGATAAATTACACAGCCAATATTTACCAATCTGATCCCAAAGTCCAAACTATCTTTACTGTATCTTGTTGATTGTTTAATGATAAAGGTTGGGATGAACTGGAATATGTAATAGCCAGTAACAGTACTACTTATAGTGAACTGTTAATTCAAGAATATGTGGTTGGAAGATCTCTTCAAAAGATAATGCAGTTGATCTCTGAGCAGATGTTGAATGGTGAAAATTTTCTAGAGATATCGCCCACCGATTTCAAGAGTCACACATTCAGTAGGTCTAGTGGCGAATGTGTGAATGAGTTACTACCAAGGCAGAAAATGAAAGCTAGCATTCCAGATATCTGTTGCTATGTGACAGACTACCCAAACCTTCAGTGACTTAAAATAACTACTATTGTATATCTCTCGTGATGTTGTGGATCAGAAATTCAGGACAGGTTCATCTAGGCAATTCTCTTGCTTCCTGTGGTGTGACGAGTCAGGTCACTTGATAGTATTCAGCAAGTGGTTGGACTGGTCTGGAGTGTCCAAGAAACCTCACCCACATGCCTGCCACCTTCGCAGGATGGTTCACCAAGCCTCCTCTCCCTCGCTGGTGTCCCAGCAACTCTCTATGTGGTCTCTCCATCAGGGTAGTCAGACTTATTCAGAATGGCAGCTCAGGCTTCCAAGAGGCTGGGTAGGAGGTGGCATCCTGTTAAAGGCCAGGGTCACCACCATACAGTATTGGTCAAAGAAGTCACTGGTCAGCCCAGATTCATGGGGACAGGAAATACCTTCCCACTTGATAGAAGGTTTGTCAAGGATTGGGGCCTGTCCTTAATGAATGCTGTTATAGGTAGCATTCATTTTTTTTATTGGTGTTGACTCTTCTCTGTTCATTCATTTAGGTCCATTTTTTGTGCCATAGACACCATTTATTATGTCTGGCATTGGCCGGTAAAGGAGCTAGAAGGAGAATGAGACACATACCTGCAACAGATTTCATTATTTACCTGCCTCTGAGTTTCATTTATCTTACAGCAAAATGTCCATTTTTTTCTTTTGTTCCAACTTGTGAGCCTTTGCCCGGTTCTTTGTTTTGTGAAGCCACAGAAACTGTACATGCTGAGACAAATACTCCTGAGGGAGTAAAGAGCTTACTGTTACAAATACTCCTGAGGGAGTAAAGAGCTTACTGTTACAGAACTTGAGATATCAGCTGTATTTCACAAATAGGTGAAAACTCCTGTGGCATGGGAAATTTATATGGCTAATAAACCTCTTTCAACAGGAGTTTTTGTTGAGTGGCTAGAAAGATCATATTCTTGAAATAATTGGAAGTTTTGCCTATGTATCCCAGGCCCATCGTCACTGCCACCCACCGGCACTGGCTCAGTTTTGTCCTAGGAGATGAGTAGGTTCGTCCCACTTTTATTACCTTTCATATAGGAAAATCCATGGCCCAATTTTACATTTTGTTAATCTTTTAAAGTTACCAGTTGCTGCCAACCTCTCTTAACTGAAATAACAGCTCATTGAAGTTTTGTCAGATTTAGGATGCTTTAACTCCTGCTGGCTACTAATAACTAGACACTAACTGCCATCACAAGAAATAAAGGGGGAGAATAAATTCTGCAACAAAATGATCATTCTCAAGTCCATACACTTTCTAAGAGAAGAAAGGTTTGGGATTATCCATCTATTCCTTGTGCAGTGGATGCCTGAAGAGTTAGCTATGAGGGGTTCTAGTTGGTCACCCCAATTATCATACAGTAAAGAGCTCTCTGTCAGGCCTCAGGAATTGCAAATACAAGAGTAAAAGGAACACCCAGGGCTGAAGACTTAGTTTAAGGCTCTACAGAATGCTGGGAAGGGAAAGAGGAGACTTTGGATAGGCTGGGATGGAATGCTTGGAGGCATATAGGCATCAAGATTAATTCGATTATATCATGCAAAGATTGGGGCAGATTTTAATGGAGGAAAATAAAGGAGCCTTAACTTTTTTTTGATCCACATTTCCACTCAAAGTCTGCTCTTTGTGACAGAGAAAGCTTTTGAAGATTTCCAGTGAATGAAAACTCATGGTAATCTATGGAGGTGTCTCTCGGTCTGGATTTCCTAGCTCTCCGGGCCCCTCTCTAGGCTCTCGGTGACTCTTAAATTTGAAATCATCTGATGGTTAGATGAAACTCAGTACTGTGGTTTTGAGTTGCAAAAGAGAACAGAGAAGAAAGGGAATTTGTAGATTGACAAAATATTTGTTCTTTTTTTTCAGCATCACAAGTTTAGACCAAATCAAGCCAATCACAACAACCTGAGTGAGTAGAAATTCCTTTAGGGTTTAGATTTCTGCTGGTAGCTGCATCTTAAAGTAGATATTTATGTCAAGAGAAGGTGATCTATTGTGTTTCCCATAAGGTAACAGAATCCTAACTCTAGTGGTTCTTTAAGAACCATTGAGAAAAGAGAATTACAACACAGGAACAGAGCTTAAGATGTGTTTCCTCTGAAAGCCATGATGCTGAAACAGAGGACGCTAAGTGTGACTGAAATCACCTCTAGAATGGCTGTCAGCAAGACAGTAGAGATTTTAGAATTTTTATGGTATTCGTAATATTTTTACAAAAATGATTTTAAATCATGTAACTTGAAGTTTTAAAAAAATGAGCCTGTTTTCTTTTTGGAAAACTGGCCCAATAAAAATAACACTAATATAATTCACTTGTATATGCATGTGCATTGAACACAGAGTGGTATACTAAAGAGAGTTCATACAAATAACTTGTGGGAAGTTTGGCTATTTTCTTAATATCTTTTTTCATAAATGTATGTTTATAAGTATTTACTCGTCCACTATGACCTTGGTAGCATTAGAAGCATTTTGTTAGTTGTATCATTGATTCTAAAAATCTCATTCTTGGCACAGTAGGCTATGAGAGCTTTTTGTTGCTTTTTTAGTATTTTGGCTAAGAAATGATTTCTCGCACTTTCTATTTATAAAGATGTTATAACACATTGCACCCACTTAGCGCAGCTATTCTTCAGAGATAAAGTTGTAGGTGCTAAAGTGAAATGTATGTTTAAAAGCCTGGCAAAGGAGGGACCTCAGAGTAACCGATTTGGCTTGCATCTGCCTGAGAAGAGCTGGGGTACAGTATGAAACTGAGACTGAAAGCAGCTGTTAGGATAAGCGTGCTGCTGCTGCATGTTGCAATATTGTTGTGAGTGGCCAGCTCCGTGTATGTGACTTCATGTGTGTATGTGAGAAAAAGGTGTCTGATGAAGGCAGATGAGTCAGTGTACACTACCTCCCATTAAAGACTGAGCATATTCCAAGGTTGCCCTGCAACCCCTTCAGCAGGAGGCTGGATTCCTCAGCCAGTGCCCCCCCATTCTCTCTTGTACTCACTTCAGCTCCTCTACCTCTGAGCACTTGGCTGAAGAAAGAGTGTAGCTTTCTGTAGCAAGCAAACGAAAGCCAAACCCAAGATACAGAGGCTGCCAGATCCAGTTCTCCTTGTCAAGTTAGATGTTAATGTTTGTTTTGGTGCCCAGATCAAAGTGTCAGAACACTTGGGGTTAGTGCTTTTATCCA